ATCAAGTAGTGCAGTAGTGAGTTAAGCTACATTTTCAAAAGTATGAAGTGCTCCCAAGAACTTGCTGTGGTATTCCGCCATACAATATATTTATCCACTTTACGCTTAGAAAAGTGCAACGTTTTATTTTTTGTCACCGCCCTAGGTCAAGTTACATTGCTCGTGTAACTGTATTTAAATAGGGAAAACATGGAGGAGTTTGGTCGCTTCTCTGCTTGGCCCATATTGAATGAACTAGTTAAGTGCTATCAAAGTCAGAGTGCACGCACTGAGACGACAGAGGTATGTATCAACTCGTCTTAGTTAAGGGAATAACATAGTTTAATATGAAAAAAAACAAAACGGTGGAGTATCACTTTAATACAGCAAAAGAATAAAGCGTTCACTGTTTGCGAAAATAAATTTAGAGCAAATTAATCGCTGATCTATTTCAATCAAAGAGCCCTGTAGCCTTTGACTTAATTAGTTATTTTTAAAAGGAAAATACTTAATGTTTACAAAGCACGTCTCTTTAAATCCAAAGAAAGAAATTGATTATTGTTTGTCATTTTATAATTTTGTACCATGTTCTGGCAGCAGTCAAGAACACATTACAATCTAGTGTTGAGTAGTGTAGTGTAGATGTGATATTATACATTAGTAGTGTTGTGAAATTAACTGATGTATAACAATCGTGATAATCGTTAAATCATGATTATTTCTCAGACAATAATCGTGCTTACAAAATCTGTAATCGTTGCATCCCTGATCAGAATAACTAGCTTATCTCATTGCATTTCCCTAGCTTGCCGAACACTGCCTTTACCTCTGTACAGATAAAACGGTGTCGGGATGATTCAGGTTCACATCGCTATGTGGAAGCGATACAAAATTCATTATTATAAGCCCAGACAAGTAGTTTGTTGAGGGTTGGTTTGTAAAGGACTACTATATACTGGAATCTATTTCAGGGTTTGCGTTTGTGCGGATGAGCGGCCAGAGTGGGTTAAGGGTTTTGTGTTAGAATTGTCTCGTGTTAGCGGCCCCTAAGTTAATAACTAATGATCTTTGCAACGTAAGTGAATCAATCAAAACTAACTTTAGCTGGACAATAACTTTATTCTAGAGCTGCTGTAAAGCCAAAACAATCTCGGTTACTGTTTTTTCCTATTATCAGTAGCTGCGTTTCCATTACCCTTCAAATTGACCCTTCGCTAAGCCACGCCCGAAAACCGCCACTGGCCAATCATGTCTTAGCAACCGTAACTATGCGCGGGAGGTCTGGCAAGCTTTCGAACGAGGGAAACATGCTGAAGCATTGTGAGTATGGATTGTGCAAATCTGATACCGGTATACTAAAAGTTTGGACGGGGGAGATGAATTGTTTTCCTTCCAGAAAATCTAAAAGCCAAGAGGAGAAATGATTGGCGTGATCTAGCATCTATGTGCGAGACCCAGTCACAACTACTGGTAAATGTGGACATGCTTAACAAAAACACCTATTGCTTGGAAATATTGACGGTTCTTTGGTCATAATGATATAACGTAAAATAAGACGATTAAAGAGACAAGACAAAGGCTCACTGACATACTTTCAAATATATTTCAGCATTTTGTTAATCGACGTCCTACTAACGTTACCCAGTAACTTAACCCAATCCGATCGCGGCTCTCCGGCCCGGGTATTAGTGTTATTCCACAAGATTTATTGATAAGCTGTTTGATTTATAATTATTAAGATTATTTTCACTTACCCTGCTGTGTATGAACATAGCTGTTCCTCAATTTGTGTTTTATATTTGAACGGTCAGCGTATGAGGCGCTGCTGCTCGCGCTGGGACTATAACGTTAGGCTTTAACTTCAATTTTTAAGAAGTTATTCTCTAATCGGTTGCATATAATGTCGTGAATATATCCCTCGAATGCATACTGTAGTCCCTTTTGTCTTGCTCTCTCAGATATTTCACTTGTTCGCCAAAAATTACCAATTATCTCATTGAAATGTCTGATACCGGGTGCATCCACACTATAATAGATGGGCCAGCCGCGAAAGCTTGACAGGCGTAGCAACAGTAACTAGGGAGGGCGGGGCTTAGCGAAGGGTCAATTGCGCAAATTGAAATTGCGAATTAAAAAACATTACGGAAAGTAATGGATTGCGAATTAAAAAACATAACGGAAAGTAATGGACACGTCAATTTCACAAAAATTCCCATACAGTATATCGCAAAAACGTTTACGCTCGCTGGCTTGCATGAGAGGGTTTTTCAGGCAATTCGAAAAGGGAATATTTAGAAAAAATGCAAGGAAACAGTTTTTGCGCATTTAAAGGTCACCTGACGTAGACGGCGTGGTATGTTTTTGACAGAAGTTCTTTGAGTGCATAAGACAAAAGAATTAAGGGAAAACTATTCTAAACCACAAAGAAATGCCACAATAGAGTGCCGAAACTAGACCCCAAAGGAAAAGATTTGATTTGTATAGATTTGTAGATTTGTATATATATATTACCTCCTGCTGAAATCTGTATCAAAAAAGTAAATCCCATGAAATTTGTATATTTCCATAGTGAAAAAACATCTAAACATGTTTAAAAAGAAAATCTATTACCAAAATTTGTGAGAAAATCTGCCTGGACACATTAGTGCGAAAATCGAGCCAAGAGATCTCACAATCATAACAGACAGATGCATTTGTATGCACTAGATTTAGTATTTGTTCAAAGGTTACATTAAATTTGTAGGATGGTTTGTATTTATTTGTGAAATATTATCAAGTATCATGTATTTATATTTGTAAAAAGACACAATAGGCCTATTGGTTACGCCACTGCATTTTCACTCAAATTGACCTTTGTTTACGCAAATTGCTTTCTGTTTGTTTGCGAGTAGAGTTTTCCTTTAAAGGGGGGGTTTACTGCTTTTTTTCTTTGCATGATTCTGTTTATGGGGTGCAATATAACATGTTTTTGTGTTTTTTCTTTTTTAAAAAGTCTTATTTTTCATAAGCTTCACCTTTATTGTAAGCTGCGCTCTCCTCTGTTCCCTGAACGACCGGTTGACTTCCTTTGTCTATGAAGCCACTCCCTCAGAAACAGGCAGTGGGCTCAGATTGGTTAGTTTGGGCTGGTGTGGGGTGATTGGCTAAACTGTCGCTCACATTGTCTGAAAGGTTAACGCCCATTACCTTTACAGGCGAAACGTGCCTGCACTCTGGTCCAGATGTAAATAATGGTGTCGAACTGCAGTATCAGTTTGAGGCAGAATCAGACCCAGAAAGCGGCGATGAAGAGAGGCAAGCAGAACCTCACCAAACACGGCTCTTACTAAACGTTTCTGAATGATAATTTGCTACATTTTTTAACTTTATCTACATTTGTTTAACACAATAGCATCTGACTGGCAACAATAACAACTGACTGGCTTCTAATGTTATACTCAAACAGCGTTGGCATTAGTGTACGTTCTTGATCAAATCGAAAATAATGTCATAAAGCATATATACATGAAAAATACATTTAAAACATTAGTACTTATACAAAATTCAGGTCCGTAATGTTTGTACGCGTTTGTCGTAGACACAAAATAGCATAACTAGTAGCCTAGTGGCTATAAAGCGTCTGGAATTATACATGCAAATACATTTAAAATGATTAAATCTTAGCCTACTTACAGGTTGTGGCCCAACAACGGCTGCCTCTTGTTTTAAAGTTGGAACTGCTTCATGTTTTAGTAACAGTTTCTTGTTGAATCCGGCATTGAATTCATGGAGAATCTGGAAGCTGTCTTCCGTAAAATGCGCAGCACAGAGAGATAAATTGCGATCGTCCTTTTCAGGAACATCATCAAACATAAATTGTATCCATTGTTGATGAAGTACAGCGTCCGTGCATGGGAAGCTCGAACATAGAAGACCTGACAGCTGGATGAACACAACACACTCGACGAGCTGCAGAAATATGCGTATGCCCTTTTTTGCATTTTCCGGAGCGAGGGGTTGATGCAAATGTGTGGGTTAGTAAGGTCTAAAACCCAGCTGTAGTCCCAATCGAGTCGTTTTTGTAGGCAATATACTTCCTGATTTTTAAAAGACGGTATCTCTGCTTACACTGAACTTTCAGCACTGCAACATTACACACTATTTAAAATGAAAAAAGTGAAATCGCACCCCCCCCCCCTTTAAAACGCAGATTGAGTTTGTTTGCAAAATGCGGGATTTGTTTGTTTAAGTTTGTCACATAATTCATATTCCTGCTTAATATTTTTTGTTGATACCGTGATAGCCTACATTGTTCATCAGTATTCTTTCTTGAATAGAAAGTTCAATGAACAGCATTTATTTAACATTCTGTTGAAACAAAACAATTATTCAGAGCAGCGCCATGATAGCTATGAAAGTGAGGCTGTGAGTGATCGACTTGTCGTGTTTATAATGGCATCCGCTGTAAAGGCTGTATAAAGCTCCTAGATTACTTAAAATTTTCCACAGTTTATATTGTCGGGAGTTTTTTGTCAACTGAAATTTCTTGGAAATATATTTTTTTCCAGTGTTTCATGAGCAGAACATTCCAAAAACACAATAACAGTAGGCTACCAAAGCCCATTGAATAGATATCCTCACAGCCTCGCTTTCATTCCTTTTAAAATTCAAAGATGGCGCTGCTGTGATTAGCATACAGTAAAAGGTGATTAACCAACACAGCAGGCATTTTATGTATAACTACAATTCCCGTAGTCCTTTTCTCTATATCCGGAAAAGAAGAAGGGGCCTTTTCCGCCTTCGTTCGCGAGTTTGTGAATCCTACTGTAGTGAGGGTTCGGCTCATGAATATTAATTTTATTTTCTGACATGGGCCTACTAGATTGGCCGAATGAAGACATAGGAACGTGGGCGTCTGTCGGTCGAATCCAACTGCAGTCGAAGGCTTGGCTCATGATTATTAATAAAGAAACATGATTGGAGGGTGTAGGAAGGTTACCTAGTGACTTCAGCATGAACTACTTCATGAGCTAAACCTTGGGCATAGTAGGATTTGTCGCGGGATAGGCAGACCGTCGGAAGTTTGTGGGAGATGGGCTGAAAGTCCAGCAGAAAGCAGACCGAACAACACTGCTGCACAGGAGTTTCACAGCTGCTTATAAGCGTGTAAGTTATCCTCTAATATCCTAACGAAATGTATTTCAGAATATTAATATTTTGAACGTGTGTTGTGTTCTAATCATTAGTTACACATTGACTTTGGCAGTTCACTAGCTCACTTTATGCAAAACCTGTCGCTTGTATTTCAGACAGCAGGTTAAATATCATTCAACGGACGTAACGTTAACATGTAATGCCCTTTAGCCTACATGTAAAACCACTTTTTTTTTCTCTGTCTCAAAACGGTATATTATTTAGGCTATGTCTGAATGCGTTATGGCTGTAAGGCTCTGTGTATTGGTGTACCTAGCGCACTGCAACTTGACAGCATTTTTGGACATTATAGTTATGAATGGAACGCAGAAGCGTGATGCCCTAAGTGTCATAAAGGGAACGTTATGGTCTTTGATAATACCATTGTTCAGTGATGCAGTGAGTGACTAATAGTATCAGGTGGGTTTACCATGTTACTGGTACTGAAATCAAATGCACGATATATGAATATGGTAGTACCTTAATGGTTGTTTATTTATTTAGGTGTAGTGGTGTGACATCTGTCAATCACTCTTTCGAGTTCAACAATGCCCGCCCACATTTTCAGCGCCCTAGGTTCTGGAAGTATTTTTTTCAATAATTTTTCCCATTGGGATTTTTAAAAACTTTGTCATTTTATAAGCCATGAACCAAACAAGCCAGCTATGAGGTGAATCACAATATTGCAAACTTAATTTGAAAAATTATGTGAATATTAGACAAATGACTAAGGTACAATAATGTGTACTAAACGGCTTTAATGAAGGAAAGAACTATACTGATACTGCAGTTCGACAGAGTCACAGAGGCATTTGCAAATGAAAAATAAATTGACAGAAAAACCTGTTGATTTAAAGAAGTTTAATATCAAAACAATATATTTTACATGTATTGTAAAATATGCATACAGAAATGGAAGGTTTATAGAAATATTGAGATTTAAAATATTTGAAGGGTTAGTTCACCCAAAAATGAAAATTCTGTCAGTATTTACTCACCCTCATGTTGTTCCAACCCCTTAAGACCTTCGTTCATCTTCGGAACACAAATTAAGATATTCTTGATGAAATCTGAGAGCTGGACCTCTCCTGCATACTAGTCCATAGGCTTCTTGAGGAATTGAAACTTGCTGGCCTCGAAAAGTTATTAAAGACATTGTTAAAATAGTCCAGGTGACTACAGTGGCTCAAAAGAGCCCCTATCATGGCTTTTTGAAAATGCCTGTTCATATGGTGTGAAATATACTGTAGCTCTAAGGGAATGAAAACATCCTGCAAAGATTTTTATCTGAAAGTGCACCGTATGGGCAACCGTAGTTTCGAACTTCCGCTTTTGTCAGAAGTCGGTGTATCAGTTTCCGGTCTACGACTGGTCATCCGCATCCACTAATAAACAAACAAGATGAGCGCTGCTGTTGTACGAAAAAAAGAGTTCTTAAACACATCTAAGTTTCTAAGAACTTTAGTGGATCTAACGTCCGTTTCACACCCGTTTGCAGTGTGTATTGTGGTGCAGGAGCGTGCTGTTAGTGCGTTAACATTATGATGCGTTTGCACAGTGAATAACTGATCCGCGGCTGTACAACAAACACATACTTAATATTTTTATTATTTTTTGCGCGTCGATCAAAATGTCTATTTTGTGCAGCCACTGCGCACGAAGATTGGTGTTTATCAGGAAGCAGTAGAAGCAGCGACTTGAAGCAGAGCAAAGTGCCACACAGCAGTCTCCTACGCACCATGTAAACTGATAGACCGGAAACTGATACGCCGACTTCTGACAAAAACGGAAGTTCGAAACTACAGTTGTGCACATAGCCTATATAAAGTTATTGTCTTTCAAAAGTGAGAGTCGACTCTGAGTCTATGAAATGAATTGTTTTTGAAACGAGTCATTATAATAGCATTTTTTGTCATAGATTATGATCATATATTTTGGGGATTTGTTGTTTATCTTTATAATGAAGCTGTCTGTATTAAGTAGATTGTGTTTAACACACACTAGAGTGATAATCAGTTTAACACACAGTTATAGAAATTCTACTTGCTTTAAAAAAAACTGTACTGGTATTTACAATGTAGAATACTGCTGTTTAAATTGTTTTAACTTTAAACCTGTTGGTAGCTAGCTAGCATTTTCTTTTATATTTATATATATATATATATATATATATATATATATAGTAGTGTTTGAATTAAGGGTGGGTTGTGAACTATAGACAAATCCGGCGAAACTACCGGATTATTTACGACTGTCACTAACGTTACAACGTTACCCCTTGTATAATGTCGAGTGGGTAAACAGTTTCCGTTATAAATTGCTTCAATGGTGGCAGTAAAATTTCAATTTTGAAGAGAAAACATTGTGAATACCCCGGGTCGACTGCCCCTGTCTGGAGCCGTACGGTTTACACAGATTTCCTGGGCGAGTACAAGACGCGGACATTCGCGTATAATAACAATTATTTAATGACATAAGTAAAAAAATATAATAAATATTAAATATGTGATATAGTGATCAGCAAAATCTCCTCTCTTGCTATTTTTTCTATTCAATTAACATGATATGGTCATTAAATGGCTTTCCTGAGCTAAATATAAGGTTATGTGACATAATTGTTCTCCCGCTGTTATATTGACCTCTTTCCATGGTTTAAAAACACTAATTGGTCGATATTATGTATACTTTCTAGCTGTAACGTTACCTTACCCTTGCCCGTTGCAATGTGAAAATGAGATAAATAATGGACACAAATGAAAAACATGAATTTGTTTATTTGATTTCATTTATTTATTTATTGTTGCCAAATGGACAGATCTTTTTATAGTTTTCTCGTTAGCAAACGTTAGCCTAGCTAGCTTGCCAAGCTATTTTCATAAATAATCTGTAAGATCGTTTGTACCTTCACCTGTGACTGGAGGCCAGGGTCTAACATCATCAACCCAACAAGTCATTCTGCCTGTCTGTAGCTGTCATCGAGGGTGCGTTCGCGTTATCACCGAGGTTTGTTTACATGCCGGTGCATATGTCTATGCCGGTGTAACAGCTCAGTAATGGCGTCGCCACAAGATGGCAGCCTACACAGAACGCTCGGCGGATTCGTCTATACACTGGAGGTATATTTTAAGGGGCTAATTGAGAAAATTGCTATATTTTTTATTAGTTTAAAAATAAAATAAAAATATCGGATTAATATCGTTATCGGCAAAAGCCAAAGCTGTAGCATCGGTATTGGAAGTGAAAAAGTGGTATCGGGACATCCCTAGTCATTAGCTGTTACATCGTGACGTAGATACATATTGGCAGTGCCCAGTTACTGCGCGCGCAGACGGAAGTGTAAACTTGAAGTCTACACATTCAAATACTTCATCATAGCGTCATGTCGAGAAGACGATGTGTTCTACAATGCAAAGATAGTTCAGCCACTTTGTTTTCATTTAAAAGGGACGAGCATGTGAAGAATCGGTGGTTAGAGTTCATATTTGCAACGATACCACAACAGTATAGTCTGATTGTGTTCTCATCATTTTAATTCCGAATCGTTCAAAAACATAAATGAATTCAAATGTGGATTCGCAAGCGGTTGTTCCTGAAGGAGGGCTCAGTAACTTACTTACCCAGTGTATATGGATCAGCTTCCTCCTATGAATCACAACCCGTAAGTATTATTAATAATTGTTGCTTTTATGGGTTTTGAACGGTTTTGTAGTGTCGGGCGCGAGGAGGGAAGGCGTATGTGTGTGTGTGTGTGTGTGTATGTAAGTTACGCTTATGTAAAAATTTTTTAAATATGTGAAATGTTTGTCGCTGTTATTGGAGTTGTCATAAAGAATAGAGCGTCTTGTAGTACTGCAGTGCTTTATCAATATGTTTATGCGTTATGCTAACAAACAATAACTGACTGGGTCTGTCATCTGACCAATCACCACCAATTAGCGTCACGCAAAGGAGTGGTTTGGAAAAATGAGTCGTTGTACGAATCATTTGGGAGTCGGTGAGCAAATCAGTTAAAAATAAATGCATATTATAAGACAAATAAAGTGTTTTTTATCCTTGCATGCATGTTAAACTGTTTTTGGGAACTCCTAAAACAAAAATAGGAACATTTCAAATGCTATGATAGGGGCTCTTTAACTTCATCAAACGACGAGAATACTTTTTGTGTGAAAAAAACAACAAAAATAACGACTTTATTTCAACTATTCATTTACTTCTCTCTCTGCTTCGAGTCAGGTTACTAGTTTAACAGCGTAAGCTTCTGTTATTGTGCATCACACACGACTGGCGTCGGCCAATAGTGAGCCTACGTGTGACGTAGCTCTACGCTATCACACTACGTTAACTGACTAGAGGCCCATAGAGAAGGAAGTGAATAGTTGAAATAACGTTGTTATTTTTGTTTGTTTTTGCACACAAAAAGTATTCTCATTGCTTGATAAAGTTAACATTGAGCCATTGTAGTCACATGGACTATTTTAACGATGTCTTTAATAACTTTTCGAGGCCAGCAAGTTTCAATTCCTCAAGAATCATATGGACTAGTATGCAGGAGAGATCCAGCTCTCAGATTTCATCAAAAATATCTTAATTTGTGTTCTGAAGATGGACGAAGGTCTTATGGGGTTGGAACAACATGAGGGTCTGTAAATAGTGACAGAATTTTCATTTTTGGGTGAACTAACCCTTTACTATAAATGTACAGAGTTTCATGGGAGTGAGTGGGAAGCTAGAAGGCTGTATCTGAAATCGCCCCCTATACCCTTCTCATTTAATATTCCCTACATAATTAACTCTACTAGTATAGTTCACTAAATGAGTAAAGACACTGGGTGCTCCGAAAGTGCTTTCGCTGTGCATGGCGCTCAGAGTGCCATGGGTCTAGTCTTTTGGGTAGCCGTCGATTGTACTCCAGGGCTGAATCCAAAATCGCCCCCCTATTTCCCCAAATAGGGCGTTATTTGGGGACAGCCATT